TAGAATATATTCTAGGAATTTAACAGTCCATTCAATTATTTCACCCTTCAGTGTAGCATACATAAATCATTCGCGATCGAACGGCCTACTGTAAATATTACATCCCAAAAACGAAGCCAGACATCTCTCAGTGTAACATATATAAGCAGAATGACCCAATACAGTATCAGAGCTCTAATAAACGGTCTGGTAGATTAAACTGACGAAACCGTTGAGAGAGTTCACCACTGAAGAGAATCAAGCCTTCCCAATATATTTTCCATCACAGTAAGGATAGTAGAAGTTTGATTTATGTGTAAAAGAAACATTCAAGCCTAAATGTTTCCATTTCCTTAATAAGTTGTCCATCTTAATATTGAAAATGAGAAATTTAGAAAATATTTTATATTTTATTCAAAGAACAAAAGATCCCTCACTCAATGTATATATAAAAAATATTTCCAGTTTGATAAAAATAATGACATTCCTCATTTTCCACATTTTGCATATTGTACCAATGTAATCACTATTTCACATTCTGTAATAAAAACATGTTCGTCTTCATTGAACATTCGCAACAAACGATGTAAATTATTATATTAGTTATAATTAACGCTTTCTTTTCATTTACAATAATATTTCTGTGTTCCCCTTATTTATATATATGATCTCTCTTTTGAAAATATAGCAATCCATAAATAAATCTTTAATTAAAAAGGCATATATTGGATCAAAATGATTGACGTTGAAGTTATGTGGCGCTGAGTTTGTTGTTGACACACATTAAATATGTTATAACACCTTGATAAAGGTTGGCGTTCAGCCAATTGAAATATTGGTAAAATAAATTATATTTTGATCCAATATATGCTTTTTAATTAAGGATATATGATCTATATAACATCAAAATATATCACATACTGATTTAAACCTTTTCTAAAACCAGGCAGACGTAGTTTCTAACCAATAGCAGGATAGAAAATGTATTCCACAGCGCATCACTCTAGCTGTTGGCCAATCAGAAAGCTTCACGTGGCTTTAGGAAATCTATGGGATTTTTTATGGACGGGTATAAAGTTGATGGTGGAGTTGTAAATTTCGCCGCCTCCATATTTTATGCAACAAAATCGTTCCACAACTTCCACCGTCCTAACGGCTTTTAAATATTTATCTCCCCATATACTTTATATGGTGATGATCCAGGCACTAGATGGTAAGATATGTAAATAGGAACATGATTGGTTGTAAATTGGTACCCCGAATACTTTCTTACATGGCGCCATGGATTGGTAAGCCAGGTAGGTGAATCTATAAGCATTCAACATAGCAGAAACTTTTATGATAGTATCATAATTGATTGTCCTAGAGATTTGTGGCTATTGGTACTGTTAGTTCACCACGTGTCTACACATATAGTTCCAGAATTTAGTGACTAGATGAATGTGACTGTTTGTACTGTAAGTATACTACATGTCTACACACACATGTACGTTTTGAAACTCTTTATTCTACACATGTAGTGCCAAGCTATGATGGGTAGAGGGTTGTGACTGATTGTACTGTAAGTACACTACATGTCTACACATGTAGTGCCAATCTATGATGGGTAGAGGGTTGTGACTGATTGTACTGTAAGTACACCACATGTCTACACCTCTAGTACCGAGACATAGCGAGTAGAGGGTTGTGACTGTAAGTACACCAAGTGTCTTCCCGGTTCATTCATTAAATTACCAATTCATAGAAATCATTCAAAGTGACGGCTATATCCGTAGAACAGTCTAATACCACAGTAGAGCTGTCTGGTAGATATATGTAGCTACACCAATGATGAGCCAGGCCCTACCAATATTTCCCATCGAAGTAAGGACACACAGCAGGGAGTTGTATTATTTGAAAAAGAAACACTCATACTAAAATGTTTCTATACATTACAATAGTGAGATGAAAGTTGAACTACATACAAACTTAGAGAAAACTCTCCAAGATGTTGCAAAGAACTTACAGTACTGTAGATAACAGTCTCCAGAGAGAGGTTTAAAGGCGTGAAGAAAGACAAATGATCCGGACCTCATTTATCACGTGACTCTCCATTCCAATGGGGCCGGATTATAAATACTGATTCAGTCACACTGGTCTATTCTCAAAGAGAGAGCTTTCTTCGAATTTCCCCTTCATATATATATATCTGTAAAATACCATCATAGAAATACAATATATGTATGTCATTTAAAATTTGTAAAATATTTAATTATATAACTAGATAATACCGTTAAAAGCTGAGAGATAAACTATCTTATTTTTTCAAAATATATTTTTCTCAGAGAATATTTGTTTAGAGAATAATACAAATACAGATTTCATGTTAATAAATTAATATTTCAAAATCCGTGCTAAATGTTTATGTAATATACTTCTTCAGGTGGCGACACTAATCGTTGGTACGCAGACGACCGGTCCCACATGTGTAAATAGAGAGATATGCAAATAAATAAGTAGTAATAGGCCTACCGATGGATGTTACAGTAGTCTTTGTGCTGTTCCTAATCCTTAAAATATTTATTTAAAATACATTTTACACTTAAGACAATGATAATATCCATATTCGCTTTAGAATATTGTAACAAAAAGTATTTATTATTTTATTAGCAGAGTATTATTTTTTATGTTTATATTTTGCTAGACTCTGTACACTTCCCTCTTTTGCTTATCTTTTTGTTTATCCCTCATAGTTTGTTCTGACCTTAAATAAATTGCAGTGTCATCCTGAAGTTTGTCTTTCCTAATTTTCCACGTGGCAATTTTCTTAAAAGTACTATACAGTATATATAAACCTTTGCCACTAGTGTCATCTTGTACCCGTAGAAAGACATTTTGCTCGAAAGCTTTTAAGATCGTTCTGTTATATAACGAAGCCCTTCTTCCTGACTTGTATTTCTTCATTTATTACAATAACAGTTTATCACATTATTAAAAAATGCATCTCCTTATCGTGCAACTGAAAGTTGCTGATGGCTTGCGCCATCTATCGGAATAAATATCAACTATTCTCGTTGATTTTTTAATTATTCCAGAATTGGCCAAATACCCATTCTTGATTAATCAAGAAAAGCTAACCACCGACGCGTATCAAGAATGGATATTTGGCCAATTCTAGTAATAATTAAAAATCAACGAGAATAGTTGATATTTATTCCGATAGATGGCGCAAGCCATCAGCAACTTTCAGTTGCACGATAAGGAGATGTCCTTTTTTCATAATTATGCACCTTATCCCAGTACAATATCACATTTGTACTATTTTTTCACAGTTTATTACATGTTTCTATCCCATCAAATAACTTGACGCCATATATCATAGAATAAAATCTGGAACGTGTCACTGTCAGTGTTCTAAACCCGGATTATGCTAATCTCCTGTACTTGGTGTACGATTTTTTTTATCACGGTATATGTTTACTATATATAATTATTTGTAAGTATATTGAAAATATATTTATATATATACTTTTGGCTAGAGCGTTGTGCTTTATTAAAAAATAAAACAATTTATTTTTATCTTTATCAATTAAAACAATTTACCCCTGTCCTTATTGGGTGTGCGATGAGATATTATAAAAGACATTTTAATATATTTTGCTATACATTTTAAGTTTTATATAGGCAAGGATAGGAATCTGATGTAAAGCTCATGAATGTTACTGCTAATTACGTCACAGAAATGGCTCCAGCTTTTGTTTGCGTTTTAAAACGAATTACACATGTGTATAGTATGACTAATTAGCATATTCCGAGCTTGATACTATGGCAGTGACCTCTACAAGACTTATTTCAATATCGTATCAAAACTTTATCCATATAAAACTTTACACAAATAAATTTAATGGCAATGCGTTTCTTTTAAATATCATCAAATATTATCTCTACAGACCTTACTGCAATGATATGAGTTATTGAATGAGAGGGCTTGGCTCATCAGTAGTGAGGTATTGCAGTAAGGTCTGTAGAGCTAATATTTGATGATATTTAAAAGAAACGTATTGCCAGTAAATTTATTTGTGTAAAGGTTTAACGATAGATGGCAATTAAATTTATCCATATAGGTAAATATTGTGAACCGTATGCGGATCAAATAAACCTTTCGTTTTTACTTATGGAGATATGTTTATTTTTTTTAGGTGGCGAGAAAACAAGCTTTCTAGCATATCCTCTTCAACAGGACGGCCTTCAATTGTAATGGAATTAGAGAGAAAACTGAAGAAATAAAAGAATTGTGTACAATTAAGAATTAAGTATTTGGTAGTAACTGAAGCAACTTCTCTTTCTACTGGTATTGATTCCAGCAAGATTAGACCACCAGTTCCTTCATTGCCAGAATCATCAACAAAGATTGCCATGTCATTAACAATCCCAATTTCCGGTCTCATAAATTTGCACAATCCCCTTTTATTTCCAACTACAGATTCCTCGTTTAATACCTTCCAATTACTCGAAGCTATGCGGGGAATAAAAGCTAACTATGAACTTGGCGTAATTCTCGCTCCAAAATCTAACACAAAATATCGTTGTTTTAAACCAAATATATGATTGTTTATTTAAAACTAAATCTGTGTCCCCTACTTCTGTGACCATTTTACAATTGATAATATGCAAATATATATCAATTTTAGTAGTAGAGAAAAGTATTTGCATTTTTATAATTCGCATATAAATACTCTAATAAATGGATTCATGTAGGTATTGTAATACCTTTATTCTATATATAAGCATGATTTATCATTTAGGTATAAAAGTGCAATTAAAAGGTTTTCATATTTGAGACTTTAAAAGTGCCATATAAAAATGGATTCAGTATAGAATTACAAGGATAAAATGGGTTTATTTGATAATGATAATAATGTACTGAGGAAGAATATTATTAAAATATACAAGTATCAGAGTCATCAATCAATTCTTAATCAATTCTGTCACCGATTGCTTTTGCGAATGGAATAAATACCCAAATATGGCATTTTTTATAATCATCGGTGGTTCAAAGGTAGAATGCTTGCCTGCCACGCGGCCCGGGTTCGATTCCCGGCCGATGCATTTTTTTTTTTACAATTTTTTAAACTCATTTATATTATTATCCCTATATATATAAAAGTCAGCGTATGTATGTTTGTCAACTATACACGTCTACAATACGTAACTAATCTGACTGAAATTTTAACAGTATATAAAGTAGAATCTGGAAAAACTCTTAGTGAAAATTTCAGGTCTCTATCCCGAATACCCGTCGTGTTATTTGCAAATTTGCTCTTTCGCTCGCGCCTCTAGCGGTGAAAATGGGGGGTAATACCAGCTGACCTAATGTACATGTAAAGTTTGGAGCGGGACGTTTTACAAGAGTGACATCCACGGCTCCAATTTATAATTGTAACGAATAGTATTTGAATAAAAAAAATTAATCGGGTAAAACCCGGGCGTTGCCCGGGTCATTTGGCTAGTCTTACTCTATGTACTACATACTATATATGGTAATGGACGTCATCTTCCAGGATCTGTAGGGAAATTTGATATTTCTTGATGGAGGGGGATTCGGAAGTGTGTACATAGTGAAAGAGAATGAGGCAACTGCCGCTGTCTACAAGGTATCCTAACTGGAATGGAACAGAGCTCTGAGACATAATCGTCGAATTCCGAGCGAAGACAGAATTTGGAAGGATGAAGGCTGACTCAGAGTATAGGGCATCAAACTTGTTCGTAGCGACTACAGCTGGGCTGTGATGGATGTCCAAAAAACGTATACGAACCATTCCAAATATACGAAGATCTACTTGGAGATTCTGTGTATCCACCAAATGCCTTATTGTGGCGAGAAACTTAGCGCGCTATTGTAAAACTAAGCATTCTGACAGCTAAACAATCGCCTCTATACTAGTCCAGATAAATCTAACCATGGCTTGTGTCTGGAAATTCTGCAAGTTCGTCCATGGAGATCTTGATGGCAAGAACCTTCTGGTGGCAGTGACTCAAGAGTTATACGTTGATAAACTCTGTCTCGCCTGTCCCAAGCCCGGATGAAAGAACGAAGTGGGGAGAAGTAACAAACTTTCTAAAAACCTGGGCTCAGCTGGCCTGGCTGACAGTACCCTGTAAGAGCTCTAGGAATACAGGATGTACTCCATGTTAGGAGCAACTGCACAGTTGTTTATAAGAAGACGTGTAATAATAATAGTATTATTAATACAAAGAAATAACACGCCATCTATATATAGAAAATAAAATCTTTTAAAAACGAATGTTTCTTTTATATTCAAAACAAACTTCTACTACTTTACTGCGATGAAAAATATATAAGAAAAAGATGTAGAAATTTGTTTTGTATATAAATGAAACATTCGTTCTTAAATTACTTAATTTCCTAATAATATTATTATTATTAATGATATTTACCTGCCATTATAACTGAATTGAAAGGAATATAGAATGTAAGTCTTATAAATTAGAAATTTATAAAAGTTTTTTTTTATGTTTATATATTTCTAAATATATTTGAAATGAAACAATTTCTCTAAATTCCTTCTTTTATATTTCATAAAATTATTCGTAGCTTAATATTTTTAGTGTTCAAAAGAATATTAATAGAGATTTTTCCCGCCAATTTCTGATTTTAATAGCAGAAGATTAGGAAATAGAAAATTCAGTCAATCAGTAAGGCGTAATATAATAGAAAGAACAAGCTAAGCAATCCGTTGGTATAAATAAAAATGTAAACAGACGAAAAATGCTATCCATTGCTGTTTACCAGATATTTTCGAGCCATTCCATAATATTAATAGCATAAGATCAAATAACCTATTGAAAAATAAGTTTTCCAGTGTTTGTGTGTCCATCATCAATAATAGTAATGCCAAATTATTACTGGTACTAAAGAAAAAGTAGAGAAAACACGAACGCAAAGCCATTAACTGATTTTTTTACTGGTTTGCCGCCATTTTATATAATTAATATCAGAAGATTAAATAACATAATCCTCTCCATATTACCTTTCTCGGTTCCCAGTCAACATATTTACCAATAACGTTAAGTGTAATATGTGATAAATATATAAAATAAATACAAGTAAAATAGCTATTCACTTATATTTCTTCGAACTTTCCGCCATTTTCTTGGGATTGGAGCACACGATTAAACTGCCCTTCTGTAAATAAAATCACTTAGTTCGTCTGAAGAAAAAAAAGTTTTCAGTCGCAAGAAAAATAAAAGAATTGGCGACCTACTAACTTCTGCATTTAGAAACAAGAAAGTATTTATTGATTTTTTTTCCTTGAAACATATAAAGTCAATTAAATACTTTTTTTGTCGAATAGTTAAAAAAAAAGTTTTATTTCCTTTAATATAAATAAAATGTTTCTATATATAAAATATATTTTTATATATTTATAAAACAGACAAAATTAGGCTTGTAATTTATTTTAAAAATTTATAAATTTATTCTGTGAATTTTTATTGAGATAACATAATTAGAACATAAAAGAGAGAGTCGCTTTGATGAATTATTTTTAAACATCAATTTTGTTAATAACCAATATCCCAATAGTGAATTATTAACCAAAATAGACCAACTTCTACGAATATTCATTTTTAAATAATAAAAAAAGACTATAAATATATTCAAAAATTATGTACTCTATATATTTATATATTTTTGTTGTTGTTGTTTCGCTGATTGAATAATTTATTTATTTATTTTTATCACGGCAGTACAAGCCTTTGGGCATAACAGCCCTTCGACAGGTTTAACTATATATTTAAATATTATACTTTTAATTTATTTGTGCGTCAAACTATATGCACATTAAATGTAAGTATGTAATTTCACACAATTTATAGTTTCTTTTAATATATGATTCTACACTTCTATGCTTAAATTCATATAAAATATATGGAAGAGATATTTAAATATCATTATTATTTTCATCATAATAATCATTTTTATACATATTATAATCGTTGCATATCATGTTCTAGTCATATTTCTCCATATGAATATTCACATATTTTCTACCAAAAAAAAAAACGGAATTTCTTAGCAGCCGAAATAAAAAAAGGCGCGAAAATGAACAAACTCCTATCTCCTCTTTTGGTATAAAATCCACATGTTGCGCAGGAGTAATCTCCATATGAAAGATAAAAAATATGCAAATAAAATATTAGAAATACATTTTATAACAAAGTTGGGGGTAGCAGGTGGTAGCGGGAATCTATGTTGCCAGTCTGATAACAAATTTTACGGCGGCAAAGATCTGTCAAAAATATTTCATTCTCCAATTAATTTTGAGAAATATTTTATATAGAAAAATCGATTTTAATACTTCACTTCAGTTTAATTTTAAAAATCAAATAGCTTGCTATATATATTTTTAAAATTCGTTTTTGTTTTAACATCGACTATTCATTAACTTGCTATAAGAGATTATAGGGATGCTATCTTACATATATTATTGGATTATAGAATAAATTTTAAATTACTATTTTCACGTTTCAGAGGATTTTATATCTCCTTCTTTCTAAAATATAAATAATATTTAAAGATTCATGTTGCCATATATACACCTGTAGATGGGATTATAAAACCAGAAAGCTTGAGATGATATGTAAATAAAGCAAGAAACATCTTCGGAAACCGTTTTTTTTATCATTATTCATATTTCAGAGGATTTTTTTTTTCGTTATTGGAATCTAAAATACATATAGAGTAATTTATAAATCAATATAATGCGGCTTATGATTTTAAAACGACATTTGATAATTATTTGACAATTGAAGATCGTTTTACAATCATAAGCCGTATTATATTTAATTATAAATTACTTTATATAATATTTACGAACGGAAGAATATGTCCAGGGTAGCATAGTGGACATGGCATCTGCCCGGTAAGCGGAAAACTGTGGGTTCAATTCCCATCCCTGGACACTTTTATTTTTCCGTTTATCATTACTCTTCACAATTTATCCTTTCATAATTCATCCCTAAGGTTAGAAATAATCTTTATTTCTCTTTAAAATAAATTTCGATTTTTCGTTTAAAAGAAATAATTGCTGGATAATTGTCAAATGACGTTTTACAATACATATACAGTGTTAGAATATTGTACATTGACATTTTGTCATATACTTCTATAGAAAGGTTTATAATACCTGAAAGCTTGAGAGAATATACAATTAAACCAAGAAACATATCCTCGGAGAGGCCGTTCATTATTATTATTTAATAAAATCATCATTGCCGCAGTATGTAAATAAGGTCATCGTTGTACCCCAGCCTTCCTTGTAATTTAACACCAGTTGAAATGTGAAAAAATAGTACAAGCCCGAAACGTATCCGTGGTTAGCTTTTCTTGATTAATCAAGAATGGATATTTGGCCAATTCTGGAATTATTAGAAATCAACGAAAATAGTTGATATTTATTCCGATAGATGGCGCAAGCCATCAGCAACTTTCAGTTGCACGATAAGGAGATGCCTTTTTCTTAACCAGTTGAAATATTGAAAGGTTCGAAATATTGTGAAAAGATTTGCGATTAAATACACTTTACAGTTACGATTTTTTTTCTCATAGTAATTATTTTTATTAGAAATAATTTTGTAACTTATTTATAAAATTTGGTTTTTATTTTCAAAGTAATATTCATTTACATCCATAAATATTACTTTCGAATACTAAAGTAGCCGATATAATTCGATATGAATAAGAATACATTTTCTTTGTTTTTTCTTTTGTTCCATCTGAGTTCCACAATATATAACTTATCTAGGTATCAAAATATGAGAGATATATAGTTATATCTGAAAGTTTTCACTGTCTGAATATATCATTATGTGCATATTAGTCCGATC